ATCCATCCATGAGGAAGAAAAAAAGAAAAGGGGTTTGGTATCATGTGATCGCCCAACTTTGAAGTTTTAAAGGCAAAAAGGTACAATCTTCTGCTGCTCGTCAAAGCGCCATCCTTTATTACTTCGTCTTGTCCAAAATCATGTGGTATCTCGCGTAATGTCCTAAATCAGTGCACCCAGGAAAAAGAATAGACCCTTGCTTGATCTGCTTTGCGCGTGCCATTTTGTTCTTCCCACGGCCCCTTCTCCTGCTGTCTTGCTGCACTCACTCCACTCTTCCTCTTCCCTTAAGCTCTGTGGGGAGAGAGATTTAAAGGGGCAATGAAAGGGAAGGGAGAAATGGTGTTGAAATCAAGGATGAAATGGGTTGGTTTGGTGGGTATGGTTCTTTCAGCGTTTTCCCTCTTCACCCATTTCTTTCTTGCTAGATTTACTCAAGAGGGTATTTCCGAGTTTCAATCCTCTGTTACAATCTTCTCGTGGAGACCCGTTTTTGAACATGCAATTTTCCCCCCAAATGTAAGATCTCATCTTCACTTCTGGGTTTCTGCTACGATTTAAAAATAGCTTCAAATCTGGGTTCTGGGTTGCTCTGCTTCGTTGATTTTCTCATGAATTTATGTCCGGGATCTTGGTCTTCAGCTTATGTTTGTTGTTGTTGACTGGTTCAGAGTCCTTTGTTTAGACGGCTTTGGGGCCCTGTTAGGCAGCTGGAGTCCTTGCATCCTGATGCTAATCCTAGACAACATTATCCTGGTATGCCCTCTTCCTGCAGCTTCACTTGCCTCTTTACACTTAGAGAGCTTGAATTTGTTTTAAATCTTCACTGTCTTTTGAAATCACGTGTTAGGTTATCTATTGATGTTCGTAATAGGTTTAGATTTTTATTGTCAAAAATTTACAGCAAGGACCAAAGTACTTTTTATGCATTGTTTAGGGGCTGACCATTGTATTTAGATAGTTTTGGAACTGAAAATAGACAGTTTAGAAGTTCGGGGACTAATTTAAAGCCCTTGAGCCGAGTTAAATTGTCTTAATCTTTACTTTAAGTTATGCTTTCGTATATAATGTTCTTGTAAGATCCCACGTTGGTTGGAGAATGAGACGAAGCATTCTTTATAAGGGTATGGAAACCTCTCACTAGTAGGTACATTTTAAAACCTTGAGGGGAAGATTGGAAGGAAAAGCTTAAAGAAGACAATATCTGCTAGCGGTGGGCTTAGGCTGTTACAAATGGTATTAGAGACAGACACTGGACGATGTGCCAGTGAGGAGGCTGAGCCCCCAAGGGGGTGGACACCTAGTGGTGTTCCAGCAAGGACGTTGGGTCCCGAAGGGAGGTGGATTGTAAGATCCCACATTGGTTGGAGAGGGGAATGAAACATTCTTTATAAGGGTGTGGAAACCTCTCCCTAATAGACGCGTTTTAAAACCTTGAGGGGAAGCCCGGAAGAAAAAGCTGAAAGAGGACGCATACATTTATAGTTGAGAGTGTTTGCTTCGGTTATGTCTGCATCAAGTAAGATCCCATATTGCTCTTGTTAAATCAGAATCTTAGAAACAATATGTTCACCTGTTGTTCTCCTTGACGTGCTTTGTCCATTGCCTTTCAACTCTGCAGAGCTGATTTTAAACTAGTAGCTCCTCCCCTTCCCTCTCGTATCCAATAAGAATTTCGTTAATGACGTGTTTTAAACGATGCATTCCTGAACTAATCATGTCAGCAGATCCCTCATTACAATCAAATGGATTCATCTTTGTTCGGATACAGGGCGGATTCCATGAGATCAGGAATTCGGTAAGGATGTAATGGTTTGATCTCTTTTATGATATTAATATCAGGTTATGGTAGCAAATTGAAGGAATTGCATGCTTCGTCTTCTAGATTTGTGATGTTGTTGTCGTTGCTCGGCTACTTAATGCCACCTTAGTCATTCCCGAGATTCAATCGACCACGAGTAGCAAAGGAATCAGGTTTGAACTGATATGGTTTATCTTACTACTACTTTTCATGGCTCGAAAAAGCACTTTTTTAATTGAAGTTGTCCTGTTATCTTCATGCAGTTCCCAGTTCAAGAGTTTTGCTTACCTCTATAGTGAGGACCATTTCATCACGGCCTTGTCGAGAGACGTTAAAATCGTGAAGACCCTTCCGAGAAATCTTAAAGGTGCTCGGAGGAAAAAGGAGATCCCGCGATTTAAAGCACCGTACTTAGCATCTCCGTATTTCTATCGGCGCCATGTACTTCCTGTTTTGAAGAAGCACTTGGTGGTTGAACTAGTTGTCTCTGATGGTGGATGCATGCAGGTAAGGAATGCTCTTTGCACTCATTCTTTATATTTGCAACTTTCTCTTGATCAGATATGCTGAATACACATCTTAACTTGTATTATGACGTTGTTCCAAGCCCACCGCTAGCAGATATTGTCCTCTTTGGACTCTCTCATTCGGCTTCCCCTCAAGGTTTTTAAAACGCGTCTGCTAGGGAGAAGTTTCTACACCCTTATAAAGAATGCTTCGTTCTCCTCCCCAACCGACATGTGATCTCACAATCCATCTCCCTTCGGGGCCTAGCGTCCTTGCTGGCACACCGCCTCGTGTCCACCCCCCTTCAGGGCTCAGTCTCCTCGTTGGTACATCGTTCGGTTTCTGGCTCTGATACCATTTATAACAGCCCAAGCTCACCGCTAGCAGATGTTGTCCTCTTTGGGCTCTCCCTGTTAGGCTTCCCCTCAAGGCTTTTAATATGCGTCTGCGAGGGAGAGGTTTCCACACCCTTATAAAGAATGCTTTGTTCTCCACCCTTATAAAGAATGTTTCGTTCTCCTCTCCAACCGATGTGGGATCTGATAGAAATTGTTTCTCAGTAGAAGAAAAAAAAGTTTTTGAACGTTGTAATTTCTAAAGAAATCGACCCTTTTGTCAATATTCTTTCATTTTCATTTTCCATGAACGCTTGGTTTTTTCGTTACAAAATTGCTTCGAAACTCATTGATTGTACTCGTTTAGGCCGTCCTTCCACCTGATCTCGAAGAGTACCAGAGATTGAGATGTAGAGTTGCTTTCAATGCTCTTCGATTCAGAATGGAAGTTCAGGATCTTGCCACCAAAATTCTGCAGAGGTAAATATTTGAAATATTTTGAACTGTTCTTGAAACTGTTCTTACACCTAACTTTGCATGTAGGCTTAGAGCTCCAGGCAGGCCGTTCATAGCCTACTATCCTGGGATGACACGGGAGGCATTAGCGTATTACGGTTGTGCTGAACTGTTCCAGGTACATTATTTGAATCTTGTTTACATAACATATGCGTTTTGGGACCTATTATTGACGTTCGATATGTGCTTTTGATTCGAAATGAATTCCAGGATGTACATAACGAGCTCATTGAGCACAAAAGATCGTGGATGCGAAGGCGCGGGATCATCAAGGGGAAGCTTTCAGTGAATTCTGAGGAGCAACGACTCAATGGTTCATGTCCTCTAATGCCAGAAGAGGTAAGCAATAAGGTCAAGCTGATATTGTTTGGTTCAAATGGTTAGATCGAAATGGAGAAGTAATTTGTTGCTTGTCGATCGATCGGCAGTGCTCATGGATATCCTCCTTTTATAGGTCGGAATTCTTCTCCGAGCTCATGGATATTCATGGGACACCATTATTTACGTGTCGGGCGGAGAAGTTTTTGGTGGACAAAGAACCTTGATTCCTCTCCATGCTATTTTTGAGAATGTTGTTGACAGGACTTCCCTTAGCTCCCCATGGGAACTTAATAGGCTTTACGGTCGCGAGATTAACGTCGGTAGCAACTATCCAAGGTCTCCACCTTCCATTTCGAAGGAGCAGAAGCCTGATGCATGGAAGACAGACGGACCACGTCCTCGCCCATTGCCACCACCTCCGGCAAGGCCAAAGTACCCACATAACATAGAAGGTTGGTGGGGTTGGGTAGCTGAGAGTGACATTGAGCCTGAAAGTACTGTGATGGAGTTGAGAACCAATGCCCATAAATTGCTTTGGGAAGCTATAGATTACTTCATATCCGTTGAAGCCGACGTTTTTATCCCTGGTTTCGACCGTGATGGCAAGGGACATCCAAATTTCGCGAGTTTGGTGATGGGCCATAGGCTTTATCAGTCAGCTTCCCTTAAAACATATCGACCCGATAGGTATCGTCTTCGCTATATTCATGTATTTGCCAATGGTTAATGATTAAAGATTCATTGTTTTCTTCTTCATCCTCATTGTCAATGCAGAAGAGAAGTGGCAACTCTGTTAGCAGAAACCAGAGACCACCTATATCAAGCGAACTATACATGGCTGAGATCGATCCGTCGACATCTAAGAAAATCAATACTTGATGGACTTATGGAGGCATCAACAACATCAAAATCGATATCGTTTCTATCTCATCCAGTTCCCGAATGTTCTTGCTCGAGACAGGACCCAGCTCAATTGCAAGCTCAGGTTGGTGGTGGTGGTCTAGGAGCTGTGCAGCATTGTCGTGGTTGGATGCGAAGCGAGTCGGGAATGCAATCAAAAGATAAGCAGAATGAAGAAGATGGCGATGAAGATGATCCAACGTCGGAATCGTTTTTCAAGTACAGTAGCGAAAACCGGGTAGAGGGAAGTGGAGATATGAACAGCAAGGAAGCTATTCTGTTGAATGATCAAGAAGAACTTGATGGAGGAGAGAGATAGCCATTGATAGCAACAGTTTTGTAAATTTTCTTTGTTTTTAAGACAATATTTGAAAATTTTTGTAAAATTGTGAAATTTTAGGTTTTATCTTATTTTGGAAGGTCCATCATCCAATTCTTGAGTAGGGGTAAAATAGTAATTTAGTAGGGTTTAGATGGGCCTGAGCCCAAAACGGAGGCCCAAGGAATTGTACGGTATAGATTATCTGGCAGGCAGCCTCAACTACCAACAGAAACCTTTCAATAATTTCAAATTAATTAAATATTACCAAAAAAATTAAATTAAAAAAAAAAAAAAAAAGGAAGAAAATTCAATTTCAATTCAGTTCTTGACCACCTCCTCCTCTTCTAGGGCTTCCATTGCCCTTCAACTCTCTACTCTCACCGTTCTTCTGGTACTCGGCCCTCTGGATTCTCCACGACACTTCTCCTTTTCCATTTCTGCTCCTCGTCAGCTTCTTTCTTCTTGAGCAATCATAATCTTCAATTCGAGGCACTGTGTTTTTTGTTGCTGGATTCCGATTCCCAATGGTGAAAACTTCCAAGTCCGTCCAGGAACGCTTCGAAGACGATGGCAACGGTATTTGATTTCTATTTAATTTCTGGGTTTTGAATTTTGATTCTTGAGTTTTTCGTTTACAAGAAATGAAATGTTTCGTGGGTTTGATTTTGTTTGGTGGTGTTAGGAGAATTGAGAGTAAAGATTGAGGGGAAGGGTGGGGACAGCAAGGCGAGTGATCATCGGTCTAAACATTCAGAGACTGAGCAGCGGAGGAGGAGTAAAATTAATGAAAGGTATGTTGCTGCTGCCTAGACAAATGTCTACTGAAATCAATTAGGAAACAACGAGTTTTTTTTTTTTTTCCCCCTCTCGTTTGGTTTTCATCTTGTGTAAGTGCTGTAAAGGAAGCATTTTTTTTTTCTTCTTTTCAGTTAGAAGTGAAACGTTGATTAAAGAGTTAACCATTTTGTTCAAGTTTTGAGTTCTTGGATAGTTATTTTAAGTGAACAAAGGGTGAAGCGAATTGTTATGTTTTCTCAATTAAATATGTGAGATCGTGGATGTTATAGTAATTCGCATATTTCTGCCTCATTTGAATATTTATTGGAAGTCTCTACAAATTTCGCTTTGTTCAGGATTGTTGTATGAACAGAAACACATTGAGGATGAGTTTTATTAAAATCATTTTCTTAGTCCTCCTTTAGATGCTGCAGAATTTTGCTCCTGGAAATGATATGTAAAATGTTCTGCTTGACCTCATGGCTAATCTTAGAACAGGTTAAAGGCTTAGGTCCCGTTGATAAGCATTTGATTTTTAGTTTTAATGTTTAAGTCCCCATTGATAACGTTGGATTTTCAGTTTACTGTTTCTAAAAATTTGGCATGTTTACTCACAATTTCTTTGGTATGTTTTCACTTTCTTTTAAAGCATTTTTCAATCCTTAGCAAAATTTCAAAAACTAGTTTTTAGTTTTCAAATTTTGGCTTGTTTTAAGCTTGATAATTAAGAACAGAAATTTAAAAGCAAAAGAGTTATGAAACATATCCTTTGTTTGTAGGTATTTTCTCTTTTCAGTTTTATATGACCTGGTGTTCTCAGATTTATTTGGATCTTGGTAACATTCTCATGTTTTTGTGAAATATTGTATATTCTAATGGAGCAGATTTCAGATTTTGAGAGACCTCATACCTCAGAATGACCAAAAAAGAGATAAGGCTTCATTCTTGTTAGAGGTATATCGATATTTGTAGAGTACATTGCCAACCCAACCCATCCTAGTTGTGAGATTCCTTTAATTAGATAGATTCATCTTTGATATATTTTACTTCAGGTAATAGAGTACATTCAGTTTCTACAAGAGAAGTTAAATTTGTACGAAGGGTCGTGCCAAGGTTGGAGTCCGGAACCTTCAAAATTGATGCCATGGGTATAATCTTCATGTGACTATTGTTTTTACTTTGTCATCCGCCAGCTTGAGTGGCTTTCTTGCTTCTTTTTTCTAGACATTGAGTTAGTGAAGGTTTTAAATATGCTTTTAATGTAAGGAACCCTTTCAGGATACTAGTTCTTTGGAGAATATGAAAATCATGAATAAACATATACTTTTGTTATTATTATTATTATGAAACTGTGAACAAACACTTAATGGCTGCCCTTTTTTACTTTTGACAGAAGAATTATAGAGCTTCTGAAAATTATGTTGATCATTCTCAAGTGATAAAGAGTGGTTCCAGTCATGAGAATGCTGTTTTCTCCCAACCAATGCTAACAAATGCATCAAATGTGATGGATGCTGACTTGGGTCCCGCGGCAGTATTAAATGCAGTCGATCATGCTCTTGTCTCTGCTTCTCAAGAACTCCCCATGAGCATGCGTGCACAACCAGTTGTGTTTGACTCGGTTGGAAGAGGTAGTTTATCCACTGAAACTTTGGATGAACCTGCATCAGGATCAGAGAACATCTCTTCCAAGACCCAGACTGAATCGTTTCAGGGCAGAACCTCTACCAGCACAGGTTTCCGAAACCATGCTGTTAGTGATCGGGAGGATCTGACCATGGAAAGTGAACTGGAGAGTATCTCAGGTGCCTATTCCCATGGGTAAGCATCTGCCTCGCGTTTTCTATGATGTCTTTATGATCTTTCTTGATATAAAATCTGGAAGATACAGTCTTTCTTTTTAAAAATGTTCTCATAGGCCTGGAATTTTTCTGAACTGTATTTTAATTCATGTTAGCCATTTCCCTTTAGTTTTCTTTTGTATTGTCATTGATATTGTTTCTGTCTCGAACAGGCTACTGAATACCTTGACCCAGGCGCTGCAGGCTTCAGGCGTTGATCTGTCACAGACCAACATCTCAGTGAAAGTTGATGTTGGAAAACGAGCAAATAGAGCGATGTCCATGTCCGAGGTATATAACCTTCACCTCTGTCTTTTAAAGTCTTCTCTTTCGCTTGCTAGTTTAATCGATGCCGCTTTGTTTCTTCTTTTATATGATCAAAGATATTTCACCAGGATGACAAAAAACAATCTATGAACAATCAAGTGGTGGCAGAGAGTTTACATGGCTGCTTCACTGAGAACACAGAACAAGCTCACAAGAAGCTTAGAACAGGGGTCTAGTGTGTTCTTCCCTTGTTCACTTCCATCCCTGAGTGCTCACAAGAAGCTTAGAACAGGGGTCTAGTGTGTTCTTCTCTTGTTCACTTCCATCCCTGGGTGATCAATTTTTTTTCTTTAAATGGGTGGTGGGTTTAATCCTGGCCTTGTTTTTTTCCCAGGTCATGGTCTGTTAGCAACTGGGATGTCTTTGATTGTACGTACATGTCTTTCTCCTTTGCCCCAGTTGCAATGGTATAAGGTTAAGTTGAGATAGAAAAAGCTTGCATTTTCTAATGTCGTGTACTTGTAATTTTCCAGATTAATGAGAGCCCCAAGAATATTATTAGTTGCATGGTTATGATGTCAAAACATTTCTTGATTGGACTCTGGAGCTCCAACGAGTTGCCTGTAATGGTCGATCAGTTTGTGGGTGTCGAGAAAGACGAGCCGATCACGGAGAGTCACCGTCGAACTGAAGATCAAAAATAATCCAAGGATGAAACCTATATTTCACGCACTTTATATACATCAAAGGAAAAATAACCTAACAGTTTGTAAGTATGAACTGGAGCCTGACTCGAAAAAAATAGTAAACGTTTACGAAAATGAATTAGGCCTAAACACATTGGTTAATGAGCATTCATAGAAAGTTTCAATTGCCTACTTGACCCATAAGTGGAATAGAGTGGGGTATTTGTGAAGTCAACATTAATGGACATTGCCAAACACATAATAGAATGAAGGATATTTTAACATATTTAACATTTGTAAACGTATAAAATATTGTAAGATCCTACCGGATCAATTAAGGAGGGGAAACGAGACATTTTTTTATAAGGATATGAAAATCTTTCCTTAGTAGTGGGCTTGGACTGTTAGTACGAATATAATTGGATCGATCAAGACATTAAAATACCCATCAAATTTTTTTTGGGCAAATGAGCATCTTCACTCTGTCGGTCTAGAAACTTAATAGCAGTGAGTGAGTGGTTGAGTGGTGCAAAAGTTATGGTTAGGCCAAAATCAGCCCACCATTATAATTTCAGCTGCCTTGTGAAAAGTGCATCCTTGGATCACCCAACCAACACTTTTTTAATCCTTTTCCCATATCCTCTGAATCACCATTGTGCTCTCTTGGATCACTAAGCTCTTTGAAATCTGGAATTTCTCACTTTCTCTCTCTACAGATTGAATTCATAAGACTTTATTGAAAGATGGGTTAAATGGGGAATGGTGAGGTGTATTGAGTGCAAAGTGGGCTATGTTGACATTAATGTCACTCATTAATACTTCTGTGAGTGATATGATGCCCAATGTGAGTATCACACAAAGTCAACATAAGGTTTGAACTGCAAATCTTGCAACTTTTGTGAGTTCTTCATCATGCCTAACCTATTGGGTTGCTACCCACTTTACAATACTTCATATTCATCCCCCTACTTACCCAATAACAAAAAAATGGTTGAATTTGAGGGAATGCAACTTCCTTTCCTTTGTTAGTGCTCCCTATCAGTCACTTTGAAATTCTGGTCTTTGTTAGTTCAAATTCGTGTAGTTAGCGCAACAATGACGTGGGACCTCCAATCCACCACCCTTCAAGGGCCCAACGTCCTTCCTAGCACACCCCTTTGTGTCCAACCTCTTTCGGGGTTCACCTTCTCGCTGGCACATCACCCAGTGACAAACTCACTGATACCATTTATAACAGTCTAAGTCCACTGTTGTTAGCAAATATTGTTCTCTTTAGATTTTTCTTTTCAAGTTTCCCTTAAGAATTTTTAAAACGCGTATGCTAGAGAGAGGTTTCCACGCCCTTCTAAAGAATGTTTCGTTCTCCTCTCTAACCAACGTGAAATCTCACGTTACGACATTACGGGTGTCAAGTTGTTAGAATAGGGAGGGACTAACAGTTGAAGAATGTGAAAATTTTTGGGTGATCCATTTATTTCCCACTGTTACAAATTTTACTAAATCTAAACTTGCAGCAAAGAGGAGAGGCTTTGCGTTCTTAAGAACTCATATTTATTAGTAACTTCAAGTCAATGATATCAGCCAAAAGCCTCTCCTCCTCCATTCTAAAACTACATGGATAACTTCTCTTCTCAACTGATATACAAGTTTTAAAATCCCCTTTGATGATGATATCATGAGCTTCTCAATGGCTCTTCCCATGCTTCCAAACACTCGTGCGGATTTGTGTAGAAATAATCTTCTTCCTTCGGCCTATCTGGAATGACAACTCGTTTCTTCGAGCTCCCGTCGCGGTTGGAGTGAGCTTCCTTCATAGCTGAAGAGAACTCATCCCACCCTAACAATCCGTTGTCGTACTGATCGATTAAGCTAACAACCAACTTTCTGTCTAGAAGAATGGTCTTTTTGTACCCCAAGAATCTGAGAGATAGAAAAAATTTAGAACAAACACGAATCCTCAAGAAAAACGTCATGGAAAACACTCTATATTGCAGTTGTTGCTTACCGACGATGTCCTTCGACGACTTTCGCCATGTTCCCATCATAGGTAGGAACGAAAATGTCGCTCTCCAACGAGACGAGATAATCCAATGCAGCCATCTGTGATGAATGATTCTGAAAGAACCTCAAGTCTGATGGTTTCAGCAGTGTCTCTTTTCTGACCTGTGTTTGAAGAACAAAGCATAAACTTTCAGAGCCTATAATTTACATCATTCAACTTCAAGTTTCATCAACTAACCAGATTAGGGAATGCAGATGCTAAACTTTCCATCCTTCTATCTCCACCATATATTTCTCCCGAAGCGATATAGATTTGAACATTAGGATCGATCCCGAGTGCACTTAGAACTAGCGAGGTTTCCTCGGGAGTCAATGGACACAAACCTTCTTTCCTTTTCAGATCCGAATCAATGATTTTCTCCTTCCACCATGGATAAGCATATCTTAACAACAACCACGGAGAGTTCGTCAAGAAAAAGTCATCTCGAGTATACAAACCAAATGTTCATCTAACGAAACAAAAATGGCAATACCTCATTCTTGTAAGTTCGTCGACTTCGTCATTGTTGCAACCTCGAGTACAACCAGAGAAGGCTAGCATATCCATTTCATATCTAAGATGAAGCACCAAAAAGGGACCTTTGTTCCTCAGCATTTGAACAACCTTTCTTCCCAGCTCCTCAATTCGGGAAGTAAATCTCAGGGCGTTAAAATTTACCCGGCATCGCAGTTTTTGAAGCTCGATCGGCAGTCCATTATTGGCGAGTCGAGCATCAGTTTTATTCAAATGTACAACTTTATACTTCTGAAACAATGGAAGAATCTGCAATCGAAGAAGACCATGATATCAATCAATCAAGTAATAGAGAGCTCCAAGAGTCCCTCTTGAACATGAACTCAACCTGATTATGGTAATATGATATGTTGGACCAACTAATAGGCGACAATGAGTAAATCATTTTCGATTCAAATCTTCGTTCGAGCCTCGGAGGAAGCTTTCTCAATATCCGAACTTCATCTCTCAATGACAATACGAAATGATCAATGTCGAAAACGTCTTCAAATTCACTGACAAGAAACAAGACACAGATTGCAGCTATAACTAAATGGTAAACTTGAAATAAGAGATGGAATGCATTGTTCACAAACATACCTAGGATCAGCCCAAAAGGAAGTTTTATCCAAATTTGGAACAATCAGAGTAAGATTTAAGTATCTAGCAATGGCAACCATGTCACAGATCTACAAACAATGGCAGAATTCACAAAAGACAATCAGAAAACAGAGAAAACAGGGAATTGGCAGTTCATAGTGAAAGCAACTCACAGCTGCTCTCATTTGGTTGAGTCCTCCATTGCAAGAAACCATGAGATAGCCATTGTTTCTGTAAATCCCTGTGAAGAACAGATATTATAAGGAACAGATATTTGAAAAGATTAAGAATTAGATGAGCTTACTTTTTGGTGGAAGAAAAACATTGTAAGGAAGAGAAGAAGAAGATTGAAGAGGCATAGGAGAATCAAAATGGAAGCAACGAGAGGGCCAAGTTATGAAGAGCTTTGGTCGCCATAGCTCTCCTAAAGCCATAAGATGAACAAAACAAGTCCATAGAAGCACTGTTGTAATTGCCCTCGTCATCCATAACTTCATTCTCGACCTCGAAATAGATATCGAGTTCTTCAACTTCTCAACCTTTTCTTCATCAGAAAATCTAAACCCCATTTTCCAATCACAACTGTTATTACACTTCTGATCGGATTCCTTCATTTTGCACATTGTGAATTGAAAACCCAAATCGACCCACTTCCCAAAAAGCTCTAAATTACAAAAGAAAACAGTGAATCGCTATTTTGAACACAAAAATTTCACTAGAAAATGGACTCCATCCCGAAATTGGGGTGAAACCCAGAAGTAAATGAACACAATTAACTGCATATTTTTGCTCTAATGGAAGCAAAACGTGGGGGAGAAAGCTGAGTGAAAGAAATTGTGGGTTGTTTTGAGGAAAGGAGGTGAAATTGAGAAGCAAAAGAGGGAATGAAAATGGGGGTTTGATTTGGAAGGAGTAGAAATAGAGAGAAGGAGAGATGAAAAGCCATAAATCAAGGCGGACCCGTTGCTTTTGGAAAGGATTTGAGAAAGAGAGGAGAGGTCATCGTCATGGCTGAATTGAAGCTGTAAATATTATCAACTTTGGATTGTCTTGTTTTCTTGCCAATCGCCATTCACAACTGACAGCCTTTTCCCCCTCTTTTCCGTTGTTGGGAAGCTTAAATTTTGTAGCTTTTTTTTAATTTTTTTTTTATAATAAATAAAAAAAAAAGGCATTTTTCAAGTACAATAATGTTGTAGCTTTTGATTACATGTATAATTTGTTTTGATTAGCTTTTTAATGTTTTAAAATTTCAATTGTAGTCTCCCTTTTATAAAACTTTATTAAATATTTTTTTTTGTTTAAGATATATGAGAATAAAATATTTAAAAAATTAAAAATAATTGTGTTTATCTAACCATTTTATTATATCAATTAATTTTAGATAATTAATTGTTATTAGTTTATTTTTTTATTAAGTCAAATATTTAACATATTGAAAAAAGTTATAAGCTATTTTTTTTTTTTAAATAATATTTCGTTGGTATAACAAAAGTAGAAATGAAAACTAAAAGTACTTAAATCTTCGATCTAAAGAAAAGAATAAATGTTGTAATAATTGATTTATACTATGGTAGTTAATTCAAATACTACGTGTTCAATACAACTATGTTAAGCATGTTTTGTACTGAGATCTCTTATCTGCTTCAAGTTTGGAAGTGATTTAAGGTTATTCAAAATTACTCAAAACACGGGATGATTTCATTACAAAAATATGTTTGATTTTA